TCTTCGTCGTCAAGGCCCCCCTCGTCTCCAGCCGCGCAGGTGATGCGCAGAGGCCGGCGGGCTCCCGCAAGCCGGAGCCCGATCCGCTCCTTCCTCTCCCACCCTGCCCCCCATGCCTCCTCCTCCTGCTCTCTCTGCTCGACCCCCGGTGATTCTCCCTCCTCGCTCCTCTCTGCTTCTCCCTCCTCCTCCTCCTCCTCCTCGCTCGTCCTCCTCGTTACTCTGCCGTTCATCCTCCTCCTCGTTCCGTCTGCCTCCTCCTCCTCCTCCTGCTCCTAATCCTCTTCCTCCATGTGTCTTCCTCGTGAATAACTCTTCCCTTTCGCACCCCGAGGCCAGTCGAATGGGCGGGCCTGGCGTTTCGCCTGAGACCTCCTCACCATTTACGACCCTGTAGCTTGAACTTTCAGAGAGCTTCGCTGATGAAGGGGGGTCCGTTTTCAAAATGTCGTGTCGCCTCAGCGCCGCACACGTTCGTTTTCAACGATTGCAAGAGTTTCACGGATGGAGGGCGGGTCCTTTTTTCAACAAAAAGCGTTTTAAGAGTTCGTAGGAGTTTCCAGTAATCTCACGGGTAACGTCCCAGAAATGGTGTTGTGGCACGATGTCGGAATGCCAGGGCGCGACAGTTTCATTGATTCGTGGCGTTGAAGTGACAGGAATGGAGTTCTGGCACGATGCAGGGTCGTCAAGACGTAACAATAACGTTGACTCCCAGCGTTGAAGTCCCAAGAATGGCGTTCTGGCGCAATTATGATTTTCGAAGCGGTTGTCTTCAAACGAGGCGTTATCCTCAGTGACAATGAATCCTTGAAGGTGCCTATGAAGAGGGAATTTGGAGGGACGGTGTACTGCAATATCGTTGATGAGTCTTTGGTTTACAGTGGTCCTCCTCCTCATCATCATCCTCCTTCTCCTTCCCCCCCCCCCTGAACCTCCCCCTGCCCCATTCGCGCCTCGCCTCGCCACCGCTGGGGCGGGGAGAAAACGCCACGCCGAGGGCCACGACGAGCAGGAGCCCATGGGCGTGGGCGCGTGCAAGTGCGAGAAACCCGATAAGCCTCAGCAGTCGGAGCAGTCGGAGAAGCCGGAGAAGTCGGAGAACCAGGAAGAGGGGGCCCAGTCGGAGAAGTCGGAGAAGGCCCCGGCGGGGGGAGGGGAAGGGCAGGATGAGGAGGATCAGCGCAAGGGGACGGGGGACGAGGAGGGGCAGGAGGAGGAGGAGGAGGCGAGGGAGGGAGGGACAAACGGGAGGAAGAGGCGAAGGAGTAGGAGGAGGAGGAGGAGAAGGCAGGAGGAGGGGGAGGAGGAGAAGTCGGAGGAGGAAGCGAGGGAGGGGGAGCAATCGGGAAGAGGAGGGGTTGGGGGAGGAGGGGCAGCAGGACGACAAGAGGGGGTGGAAGAGGTTCCCTGAGGCCCTGGTGCCCCAGGGTGTTATTCGATGCGTGCCCTCCCTCGGTCGTCGTGTACGTATGCATTGTTTATTCCACATAATGAGAATTCCGGCAGGTCTTGTGCGGATAGTCTTGTGCGGTCTTGTGCTAGGCCTTGTGCTGGGCCCTTGTCGCCGATTCTTTTTCTCTTGTTCGTTTCTTGCCCCCCCTCGTCCTCGTGATCATTCCTCTTTCTCTGTTTTTGCACTCGGTGCCGCCAGTAGCGCGCCGCCAGTTCAGCCAGGGTAGCACGCTGGGCACCGAAGGCAGTGCATGTAATTGCCGATTCCGGTTCCGATCCGTTGTTGCAGGAATCGTCCCAAGTCGGGGCCATCGAGGTGGGCCACGGAGGGGGGCCACGGAAAGGAGCCACCCAGGGGCTTCAGGCCTTTCTCCGTCCCCCTCTCTACAGTCAGCTCCGTCCCTCCTCTCTCCTGCCGATTGGGAATAGCGCTCTGGCCAGATCGCGAGGCACATTCTTGATTTGGGATGACGTTGTAGTTCGAGCGTTGTCCATTGTCGCGCACTCGTGCTCGCACTCTCTTTGCGAAGCGCTGTGCTGCACACTTTGTCTTTCGCGCGTTCTGTGCGGGAGCACTCTTCGTTCGACCAATCGTTATGTTGAGGATTGTATGCATGATTTCTCCCCTTCACGCTATATCATTGACTCTTCCCGACCTGGTCCATCATGCCTCCAGTTTTCTCCTCGATTCTCCTCCGTTCGCCCTCCTCCTTTCTCCTTCTCCCTCCTCCTTTCTCCTTCTCCTTCTCTCTCTCTCTCTCTCTCTCCTCTTTCCTTCCTCCTTCTCCCTCTCTCCCTTCCCTCCATCCTCCTCCTTCCCCTTCCTTCCCCCGCCTCTTCCCGCTCCCGCCGTCCTCCTTCCTCCCCCCCCCCTCCCCCCTTGCGGTCAAGACTTTTGGCTTCGCATGTCGCGCCGCTGGCTCTGGCTCGCCATGCCTCGGCTCGACGCGCCATCCACGTCCTGGTCCCTCAGCGCCAACGTCCCGAGCTGTTTCCCAGCCTCCCGCCCCGCGAAGCGGGGTGACACGCTGTCCGCTCGCAGGGCAGCGCTGGTCGCTGGGGCCGTCACCGCGACACGCTGTGCAAAAGTCCATGGCCGTATTCAATCACCTTCCTACCTCCGCAGGCCTCTCCCGCTTCTCATTCAGTGCCCTTCCCGTGCCCTTCGCGATGCTGCGCCTCTCCGTCCTCCTGAGGGCAGGTGCCCTCCCTCCTCCCTTGCCTCTTGTTCCTCCTCCTCGTGCTCACAATTCCTCCTCCCGCTCGCCCCCCCCCTTCTACCTCTGTCCTCCCTTATCTCTTCATGCTCCTCCTCCCTTCTCTCTGATTCCCTCCCTGTCTACCGCTGTCCTCCCTCCCTCCCTCCCTTCTCTCTGATTCCCTTATGATGCAGCGCAATGGGAGGGGACGGGATGGGTGGGAGGGGACGGGATGACAGCTATGGCGCGAGCGCGCCTGGCTTGCCCCATCCTCCTCTCGTGTCTCCTCCCTCCCTCCCCCCCTCCTGCCCTCCTCCCGTCTCCCTCCCCCTATCCTCCTCCTACCCGCCCTTCCCCTGTCCTCCCTCCCTCCCGCCCTACATCCTTCCCTCTTCCACTTGGCAGTGCAAGAGGTGTTGGTGTGCGGGCGAGGGTGCCACGCATCGCAGGCGTGTCCTTCCTGGGGTGCCCAGGGCGTGACGAGCCCGAGCTTTGGCGAGCGCGCCGGGTGCCATGCGCGCCTCGAGCTCGTGGGCGACCCGCGGGGCCGCACGCTCATGGTCGCAGTGTTCTCGAGATGTGAACGGGTCGGGCCAGTCGCCATGCACCAGGCGGCTTGGCATCGCTCGGACGTGTGCATTTTTCCTCGGCGGGGGCCATCGAGGACCATCCTGGACCACCAAGCAACAAAACACACGCACGACACCAGAGAATGCACGGGAAATGGACGTCCGAGCGACGGCAAGCCAGGCGGTGCGCAGGCAAGGGATCGAGCCAGTGTAAAAAAATCAAGCGTGCTGTCGCCCGTGGGCCCCTCGGCACACGGGGCAGGGCTGACGCGGTGAACGCTTCTGGTAGTTTGCGAGCGTCAGGGCTGGCGCGGCAAACGGTGGCGAAACACGAGCAGTTGTTGTTGTAATTTGCTCGGCCTGCGGTTATCATCTAACGCCGATGGGCGGACGCTCACGCTGTTGCTTTCGAGTCCCACGGTCTTCTAGCCGCCGGGGGCAAGACCCCGCTGGAAGCGGGCAGTGGAGCAGACGCACCCCTCGGACAAGAGGGGGCATGCCATATTGTTGGACCCGTTGATTGTGTTTCTCGACGGGTTCAGTTCAATCATCGCCCTCTCTCATCCCTTCCCCTTTTTTCCCCTTCCTTTCCAGATGTGTGAAAACCCGAGCTTCACCCTGCCCCATCTCCCTCCCACGGGGCCAGCAGCGTAGGCCAGTGGGATGGGTGTGTCACTGGAAAGGTTTTGCTGATGACTCCCTGCTCCCTGCTCTAGTGGCTGTGGGGCCCACGAGGGCAACACAAGAGCAGGGTGGGCCTTTGCCACGCTCACTGAGGAGGGGGAGTTCAAACACGCCATGTTCGGACCCATCCGCATCGAGCAGTGGCAGCGACTTATGTTCGCGGCCGAGCTCTAGGGAGTTCTTCACGTACTGAGTGTAGCAGTCGTTCCGCTTGAGATTCAGTCCGACTGCCAGGCAGTGCCAAAGGCTTCGGACGAGGCTGTGATTGGGGACAGCGGCCAGACCTGGTAATGGCCTGGCTCTGGCGCAGTGCTGGCACCTGATCGGGGAGATCGGGAGACTCAGGCGACAGTGGCTTGGCATCGCTCGGACGTGTGCTGTTTTTTTTGTCGGCGAGGATCCTCGAGGAGCATCCTGGACCATCTGGCCAAAAAAGCATGCACGACACCGAAAAACGTACGGCGAACGGACGTCCGAGCGATGGCAAGGTGGTCATGTCAAGGCTCACGCCACTCGGGCAGACCGCGCCGAGATTGGGGCCTGCATGGCTCTGGGTAGAGAATTCGGTTGCCGACAAGCATGCCAAGCTCGGAGCCCGCAGATGCATCATAGAGCATCGTGTTGCGGAGGACGATCAATGAAGTGGAAGCATGCTGCCAAAACACTTCCAGATGTCTAAAAGATGTGCCACACTTGTTTTGTTTTGCAACACGTTGCAAGCATGTGTGAAACATTATTAGAACATGTTTTACACATGTTAAACACATGTTCAGTTCAATGATAGGATTGTTCGAGTGTCCATGGTCATGACATCCACAAGCATAGAGCATAGTGAATGGCAGCGAAAGGCCTGCATCGATAGCCTTACGCTTGTACTTGCCAGTGTCAGTCTCGAATTCGCGGCTCGTTTTGGGCTGGAGTCCCATGATCTTGTGGATACGTCTCGGGAAAAGGCCCACCAAACCCTCCCTGAGCTTGAAGTAGAGCCTGCTGAGATCCTATCTCCACCGCCGCCTCCTCCTCCTCCTACTCCTCCCCGGAGCCTCCCTCTTCTGGTCGACGACGTGGATGGAGATCTGGGCAACCCCTTGCAATGCAGGCAAAGAGCATGAGCCACCAACTCGTGGTCAGTGCCTCTCACGTGTTCTGCAAGCGTTGTGCCTGCTACGCGCGCTACAGCTCGTTGGCTGGCCCTCCAAAGCCAGCGCTGCAAGCCAGCGAGCCCTGCACCTCCTTGGAGGGAGGCCAGGCAGGTTCTGGGACTGACGTCGCCCGGCCACTGGCCAGGCCCTCTCGTGCAGCGCCCCTACAGTTCGCATAGGCCGTGTGTAGAAGAGAGCGCACCCACCGCCAGGGCCTCCTTCACGAACGGCCCCGAGCGTAGATCAGGACACAACGCAGAAAACAGTCCCCTTCCTGTCCGCTTGTGTATCTCCTTCTGTTCCCCATGTTCTTTCTGTCCTTCCCTCCACCCCGCCCTGATCGTCTCGTCACCCCCCCCTCCCCCTCCTCCCCCCTCCGCCCTTCTCCCGCCCCCCTCCCTGTATCCGTTTATGCTTCCCTTCTTCATCGTGGCTCGTCCCCTTCATCTTCCTCCTGACGAGGATGAGAAAGGCGGAGACGAGGACTGAGTCGTAGGAGGAACAGGCGGAATGATGCGAATGAGGATGAGGATGAAGATGATGATGAGGAGGAGGAGGAGGAGGGAGAGGAATGAGATGAGGAGGAGGATGAGGAGAAAGATCAAGATGAGGATGATGATGATGCTGCTGATGATGATGCTGATGCCGATGCTGATGATGATGATGATGATGCTGGTGATGGTGATGGTGATGGTGATTCCGATGCTGCTGTTGCTGATGATGATGATGATGCTGATGCTGCTGCTGATGATGCTGATGATGCTGATGATGCTGCTGATGATGATGATGATGCTGATGCTGATGCTGATGCTGATGCTGCTGATGATGATGATGATGATGAGGAGGAGGAGGAGAAGATCAGAGAAGAGAAGATAAATGGCCGAGGAAGGAGTAAGAGGAGGTGGAGGAGGAAGAGGAGGATGATAATGAGGATGATGATGATGAGGAGGAGGAGGAGGAGGACGAGGAAGGAGACGAGGGGAGGGCGGAGGGAGGGGAGGAGGAGGCGGACGAGGATTGGATTGGTCCTTCAGATGAGGATCAGGAGGCGGAGGAGGAGGGGGCGGAGGAGGAGGAAGAGGCGGGGGAGGAGGAGGTGGAGGAGGAGGAGGAGGAGGAGAATCTGCTCCTCCCTCCCTCTCTCGCTTGTGTGCTCCATCTTTTCTGCTTGTTCGCCGCACTGTGGCTGGAGACGGAGTTGGGAGGGTCCAAAGCGGCAGTTTCAGCGTCTGGCAACACGTGCTTTCTGTGGGGTGCCTCATGGATCTGCGGCGGACTGCAGCAGGCACGACAAAGAAGGGGTGCGGAGGTTGGGAGCGTCGGACCCCGACCCTTTGAACAAGGCACCTGTGCGCGAGCCGAATCCAGCAAACCGCACGAGGAGCTAACGTGCCAGCTGAGCCGAGCCCAGTGACCCCGCAGAAGTCCCCTTCCCGAGCGCACAGCCCGCTAGGAAAGGACGCCTCCCTCCATCCCTCCTTCGCTTCCGCCCCTCCCCCGGCGAAGCAACCACCAGGCCGAGTCCGAGTCCGAGCCGTGCCCGCCGTGCCCGGTGTCGCCCGCCGGGGGCGCCGAAGGTGCGCATTTGTTTTTTGTTATGTTCCCAACCGTCTTGTTGAAGAGACAGCGCCCCGCCTCACTCCATCCTTCATTCCTTCATCCTCCTCCCTCCCCTTCCTCCTCTCATCCCCTTCCTGTGCCCTCTGCGTGTTCATGTCGGCCGGCCCCTCTCACGCGACGTGGCCCCATGGGGGGCTCCACAGAAGGCCCCAACGGCAGGCCCCGCATTCACTTCGGCAAACCCCGCACACGTTTCGTGGCCCCATGGGGAGCTCTACCGACGGTCCCAGCCGCAGGGCCCATATGGCGGCCCCGCACCCATTTCGGCACATCCGCACACGCTTCGTGGCCCCAGATGTAGCTGCCCTTCCGTCGTCCCACCAGCCTTGCGGCACCCTGCGCCTGCACGTGGTTGGGCCCTTGAGCAAGGCGAATTGTTTGTGGGGTGTCCGGGCGGCGCGCTCGCCTTTGCCGTCGGAGATGGCGCGGAGTCGCGCGCGCGCACGCGCGAACTTACCAGAAGGACGGAGAATGGAATGAGATGGAATGGACTGTTATGGATTTGCCGCGCAGCGAGGTGGCTTTGCCCAACTGTTGACTGTGCGTTCGGCCTATTCTGAAGTGGGCTCCTGGGAAGCTGGCACACCAGAAACCCTGCACATAACTAATGGAGGATGACGATTAATAAACGACCGGGGGTCGTATTCACGCGGCGGCGCCCGGGATGATGATTAGAAAAAACCGGCCCCGGGCTGGGAAACTATTTTTTTAATCGTCCCCCCCTCCCCCCGCCGTCCTCGGGCGCGCGCCCCCCCCGGTGACGAAACGCCGCACAGGCGAGCCCTGCTTCTGAGCGTTCCCCCCCGGTGTGGGAAACTATTTTTTAATCGTTCCCCCCTCCTTTTTGTTCTTAATCGTCATCCCACATTAGCACTACACATCAGGAACGAGCCCCCCGCCGCACGGGAAGCCAGTCGGCCGCTCTCCCTCTGCGCGCTGACCTCCCGCGGCGCGACGAGGCGAGCAGAGCCACGGCCTGCACGGGAGCATAACCCCCCCGCGACCCCGGGAGAACGAGGCGGAGGAGCGGAGGGGCAGCGAGGCGAAAGGAGAGGAGAGGAAATCAGGGGGAAAGGGTCGCGGCCAGGCAGGGCCCCCCCCCCCGTGGGGGCGGAGAGAGCCCAGCGAGGCCCAGAGGACCCCCCGAGGCATCCCGCGAGCCCCAGGCGAGACGGCCCCAGACACACCAGCAGCGTTTCGAGCCGAGCCCGAGCGCCGCGGGGCAGCCCTTCACGACTGCGGGCACTCAGCTTTGGGCGGCGAAGCCGACATTGCACTCGGGAGCGCTCCGCTGTCGTCCGTGACTGCCCAGTTGATCTGTGGACCTGTCGGCACGGCGCCTCTCTGCGCCCCAGCGCCTCGAAGGAGGCCAGCATCCCGAAGCAGCCGCGTTCGGATTTCGCTTCTCTCTCGTCCTCAGCCGTCGACTCCTGGATTGGCGGGCTGAACGGGACGGACTCCGACGCCGCGCTGCTGAGGGGTGTGGGCGCCTTCATCTGCCCTGCTGCCATCAAGCCTCTGCGGCGGCGAGCTTCTCAGCTGGAAGCTTCGTTGCACGGGCGTGAATATCACGCGGACTGCAATCAGTCTGCCTCCAGCCTCTCCAGCGTCTGCCTTCTGGGAAGCACCCTCGAAAGACATGATGGATAGCACATCTTCATCCTCCTCGCTGGCTTCAGTCCTTGGACTCTCGGCTTCATCAGCACGCGCTCCGCTCTGGTTGCCGGCCTGCGCCACGACGAGCGCGTCCCCCGAGGGCGCCCCCCAGCCGCGTGCGGCGGCAACCGCGGTGCTCCCCGTGCCGCTGGAGGCGCGAAGCAACGCCCGAGCGGCCCGAGCCGCAGCCTCCGCGGGGCCCGCCCGAGCGCCCCGCTCGGCAGCCGTGCGGCGGGGGCGCTGCGGGCGCCCGGCGGCTGGGCACCACGGCGGCGCCCACGTTCCCGCCTGCCCGGGGACGCGCGGGGGCGGGGCTGGCGGACGAGCAAGACGAGGGGGTCAGCGGCCCGGGGGTCGGCGGGCGCGGGCGCGCTGCCCCCGCGCGGGCGAGGGCCCGGAAGGAGGGGGGCGGGCGAGCATTGGGCGCTGCGAAATGGGGGATTATAAATGGGGGTGTGGCGAGTGTGGTCCGAAAAGGTACCCAAACGGTACCTAAACGAGCCCCCTGGGGCTCTGGAGGGACCCGAAAGGGGCACGAAAGGGGACCTTTTCTGACCCCCCCATTTGTGACCCCCCCATTAAGCCACGCAGAGGGAGGAGGGCGGGATGGGCAGGAGGGAGGTGCGGGGGCGGTGGTGCCGCACCCCCCTCGGAGGCCCCCAGCGGAGGCCCTCGGAGCCGCGCGCGCGCGTGCCACGAGCGGGAGGGGGCAGGTCGAGGGAGGGGTGGTGTAGGCAGTGGCAGTGGGGGAGGAAAGGTCTAGGCCTCCTAGATGGGGCCCGAGTAGATGGGGTCGGAGGATCGCGCCGCATCGCCGATGCATCGACGATGCGGCTCGATGCGGAGCCCGATCTTCCCCACGCCGACGTCGTTGATACATCGCCGACGTCGACGCCTCAGTGCCGGTGCATCGCCGATGCATCGCCGATGTATCGGCGATGCGGCGCGGTTCTCCGACCCCATCTTTCCGACCCCATCTAGGAGGCCTCTAAAAGGGGGAACGAGGGGAAGAGGCTGGTGGCCCAGATTTGTGCCGTCGGGTACCAGTCTGGTGGGCGGCCGGCATCCTGGTGTCCTGGGCTCGAGGGGGGGACAGAAAGAATCATGATGGGAAGATGCGGGCGGGAGTAGGGAGGGATGGAGGGAGGAGGGAATGAGGAGGAGGTAGGGCGTGAGGAGGGTCGGGGCCCCTCCGCCCTCCTGCTCCTCTCCTGCTTGTCCGTTTCTCCTTCGTCCTCATCTTTCTCTCCACCCGTTCCCTCCTGCTCGTCGCTTCGTTATCCCCTCCTCTCCCCTCCTGCGTGTCTTCCCTTATGACAAACTCCTCCCTGCAGGCCAGGCGTTTCGCCTGAGACGCCCTCACCATTTCTGATCTTGCAGCTGAAAAATTGGCAGCATCTTCACATATGAAGGGCGGTTAGTTTTCAAAGACTCTAGCCTTAGCGCCGCGCGCACTCGTTTTCAAAATCTGCAAGAGCTTCACGGATTGAAGGCGGGTCGTTTTCAAATTGTGGCTCTCCCCCGTGCTCCGCGCACATGCGGCTCAAACAATTGCAAGAGCTTCACGGATTGAGGACAGGTCGTTTTCTAGCCGCGGCTCTCTCTCTCTAGCACCAAGCTTCGCGGTTGTTTTTCAAAATGTGGTTTTCGCCTTAGCGCCGCGCGCATTCGTTTCAAATAGTTGGAAGAGTGTCACGGCTTCGCGCTGTCAGCATACCAGAAGTGGTGTTTTGGAGCGGTTCAGGGTTGTCACGGCGCGATCGTTACGTTGATTCGCGGATGGTGTTCGGACATGGTTCAGGATCGTCACGCCGCAACATTCAGCTTGATTCGTGGCGTTGGAGTCCCGAGAACGGTGTTTTGGCACGCTTCAGGATCTTCAAACGGTTGTCTCCCAACGGCGTTTTTCATTCAGGGGCTTATGAAGAGGGAGCTTGGAGGGAGGGTGGATTCCAACATCGTTGATGAGTCTTGGGTTTGCACTCTGGTCCTCCTCCTCCTCCTCCTCCTCCTCCTCCTCCTCCTCCTCCTCCTCCCCCTCCTCCTTTTCCTTCTCCCTGCTCGTGGTGCACGCCGCCGCGCCCGAGCGAAGCAGGCGGAAGCGTTTGTCGTCGCTCCTTCCACCTACGCCCTCGAAGCCGGAGTGCCGTTGTTTCCAGGGGGCGGGAAGCAGAGCATGCCCATACGACCACCCGTCGGATGATGAGGACGGGGTTGCGGGGGGGAAAGAACCAACGCTGGCAAATGCGATGGGTGTGATGATGACGATGCTGGTGACGCGCCCTCGAGCTAGCGACGACGCGTGATGAAGACGCTGCGCTGCGATGTAGTGTTATCATCGTTCCCGCTTTCGATCTCACTCGATCGATCCCAGTATTGATCTTACAGAACCGATCACATCCAATCGTTCTGACTATAGATGCCACTATCGATCTCACTCTAGATCTCACTACCGATCTCGCTTTCGATCCCACTATCGACCTTACTATCAATCTCACCATTGATTTCTCTATCGGTCTCACTATCGATCTCACTATCGACCTCACAACGAAAGTCACAATCAACCTCACAGTCGATCTCACTGTTGATCTCACTATCCATCCCATTCCAGCGATCTCATTATCGACTCTACGATCGACTTCACTACCGATGCCAAGGCGGGACACCCCAGGCCATCGCCCGCCCACCGCCGACGGAACACTGACGGGACACCAACAGGACACCAGCGGAACACCGCTGGACACCACGGCGGAACACCCCGGGCCACCGCGCGCCCATCCGGAGCGGAGGGGCGGTCCACTGCATCCGAATCGCCTTAGAGACGTTCGGGGTCATTCCTCTCGCGCGCCCGCGCATCGTCGCCTGGCTCGCACGCGCGACACGAACACGAAACCGAAACCGATTTCCCGGAGCGGGGCTCTCCGTTCCCTTGCGATCTTACCCCCCTACCTCCGACTACGTTCAAGCCAGCTGCCGATGCCCGGTCTCTGTCTGTCTGTCCCGCCTCCTGCCTCCTTCAGGTCTTGCTGCTGGTTCTTCTTCTTTCTCTTCTCTGTCTCGCCCTCTCCTCCCTCTCTTCCTTCTCTCCTTTTCTCCTCCTTTTCTCCTCCTTAGGTGGCCTCTCTCCCCTCTGCCTCCTTCTCCCCCGTTCGCGTTTCCGTGCGCGCGTGGGATCACGCACGGGTTGCTGAGAAGGGGGCCTTTCGATGTTTCATCCTGCGCGTGCAACCGTCTTCTCAGGGGTCCGGGTGTCTCGAGAATTCCGGCGATATTCATGTCATAGGCAAGAGGGCATGTTCGCCAGTCATCCCGATGATATTCGCCAGTGATGGCGTTGCTCTCTTCGTGGGGACAGCGTAGTACGGTTCGAGAGGAGAAGCTGCCGCACCTTCTCGACGAGTTCGGCCCCTGTTCCAACACGCAGCTTGGAATTGCACTCGCACTGGATCCAGGGGTCCCCTTCAGGAGAGGCGCGCCCGAGAGAGTTGCACGTCCCGTGGCAGCGGCTTGCAGCGCGACTCCAAAAAGCGGGCAAGGCGACACCCTCACCACTGCGCCTCCGTGCAGCGAGGGCGAGGGCAAGAAGACGGAGCCCGAGGGCGCCTGGTCGTGGCCGATTCCTGGCATGGCGCACGGCACCGCCCTTGCAGCGGCGCGGCCGGCGTTGGCGCTGCTCCTGGCGGGGGGAGGACAGGGCACTGCAAGTGAGCGGCGTGGAGAAGAGAGGTCCTGAAGGTTTCTCGCCGTTTGTGGCCTGAAGCGACTCGGTATGAGAAGTTAGTCCCGGGAGCAGCCCTACCTGCGGGCCCAGTTCTTCAGGACCCATTTCCCTCATGGCAAGCACTTTCAGCGAGTATCAGAGGGCATGATGCTGACACCCCGCTCTCTCGCACAAGGGGTGCCGTTGAGGGCTGGCACCGCGCGCAGCTGGTCGCGCAGGACCCTGTGCCGCCCCACGGTTGTGGACTGCCTGGAGCATGGCACGTTAGTGTCGAGGTGCACCTCGTGCAACTCTCATCGGCTCTTCCGTCGACGCGGCGGTCGCCTCCCCGGACGCCCAGCTCCTTGGCACAGCTAACAGTGTCAGGATGTTCTCGACCAGCTCTGCCCAGGTGGCCCACGCTCCGAGTCGCCGAGATTGGGCCGGACCTGATGGTTTCGGAAGATCGCACCGCATCGTCGACGCAGCATCGAGTATGCATCTGCAGTGCGGTGAGGTCCTTCGATCACGTTCGCGCGGTCCCAACTACGGTGGCCTTCACACGCTCATGAGATGTTCGAGGTCGCAGCTTGCGGCTTAGTATGACAAGGTTGTCTTTGTTTTCTGATACTTCCTCGGCCCCGTCTGGTCATGTCTAGCTTGCAGATGCATGGGACGAGTGAGAGCGCAACTGTAATACAATGCGTAGTCCTGGAAGGCCAACGAGCGAGCCCAGGAACGTGGCATTGAACTATTTGGGGAAACATGGGACACGTGTTTGCCACTGAGGTCTTTGCAGGAACCGTGTTCTCAGGTTGATCCAGCGTTGCTCACGTATCCTCCCTCTTCTCTTTCCAACCTGCTGAGGTCAAGATTTGAGTGCGTTCCATGTGCAGCGCCAGTGGGCTGCACGAACACGTTGCGTCGCGTTATGTTCAGATGTGCGTCTGTGAACGTGTTATGCATACATAGGTCGTCCAGATGATGCAGAGTTGTTTGATGTGTTCATGTGACCGTTGCGTTCGTTGGGCCGCTAGCTAAGCAGTCACTATCCTTGTTACGAAGCTGGGTACTGACACTAAGGTAGGTGGGTCGTGCAGTCATGTTTGCCAAGGTGAGCCCAGGCGTTCGGGACACACGCACACACATTGTACGCGGTGCTTCCATGATGGAGCTCGACATGCCGCGTGCACTGTTTGAATTCAGCAAGTCTGCCCGTCTCAGGAGACTGGTCTTTACCAGTCAAGGAACTGTAATCGTTCGGGGTTCCAAGCGCTTGCCGATAGACCGTTGCGTGCTCTGCTTGCTTCGGGCACCTGTGAACCGTAGAGTATTGTTGTTCCGGCAACGGTGGCGCCTGGCCCTGCTTGCAATTTCAGGCATGCCAAGTCTGTGCGTGAAGCCCGCGCTCCTTGCCATTCTGCGCCCCTTTGGGGAGAGGTCGCGGCGAGCATCCACTTGGCGTGAGCGCCATTTGCTACCAACGCTGGAGGAGACAACCAGGACTGTAACTGAGCGTTCCGCGTGCTTGAAAATGGGAATGATGCATCTCACGAGGTTCTGGACATGTGCGAGTGGGTGTAGCATCTGGCGAGTAGATAGTGTCACGGATGCGCTCAGCAAGGATTGCGATCTAGAAGTGCATACCTATATTGCAGAGATTTTCGGATGAAGGGTGCATCGCTGTCTCTGGCCTGCCCCACAGATCGATCAGTCAGTGCCCGTTGGAAGAACATCGATCTTCTTTCTGTCAGATGTGAGGTCCAACCAGGGTGTGTACCGGGACCCGGGATGTGGACCGACCAGAGCTCCGTTCTGCGATCACCCAGGCATCAGTGGTTCGTGTTCCTTCGTATGGGCAGTGATCTAATGGAGGAGGGCAGAGAGATACCGATGCCCACCATCGGAGGTTGGTGGTTGAGACCGAAGCAAAACGGAGCCGCCCAACCGAGACGCTAGTGTCGGCTTCCGTTCGTGTCATTCATGTGGGCGAGGTGGAGGCAGCACGAGTTCTTGCACTAGACAGGCCGAGGTCACGCCAGAGTGAGTCTGGGTCCCGCCCGCGGAGGCGTGCCGGGGGCGCTCCTATGGTTGTCCCGCGGTTAGCCCGATGCTTTTCTTGCTGATAGCCCTGATGGTTGTGCCAGTGGACGTCTTGCTGGTTGTGCCGCGATGGTTGTCCCGATTGTTGGCTTGGTGGCTGATCCGATGGGTGTCCTGATGGTTGTCCCGACGGTTCTTATGGCTCGTTCAGTGAATGTCCCGATGGTTTTCCCGATAGTTTGTCCCCACTCGGTGTCCCAATGGTGTATCCGATGTTCGTCCCGATGGGTGTCCTGATAGCTGTTCCTATGGTTAATCCAGTGGTTGTCCCGATAGTTGTCCCGACTGTTGCCCCGATGGTTGTCCCCATTGTTGTCCCAATGTTTGTCCCGATGGTTGATACAATGGTTGTCCCGATGGTTGTCCCGATTGTTGCCCCGATGGTTGTCCCCGATGGAATTTCCCATGGTTGTCGCGATGGTTTCCCTGATGAGTCATTCAATCGTTGTCCCGATGGTTGTCCCGATGGTTTTCCCGATGGTTGTCCCGACGGTTATCATGGTGGTTGTCCCGATGGTTGTTTCGATTGCTGGCACATGCTTTTTTCGTTGTTGCCCCGTTATCCCGTGGTTGTCCCGATGGTTGCCCCGACGGTTGTCCAGATTGTCACCCTGGTGGTTGTTCGATGGTTCTACCGGTCTTTGTTTGGGGTTTTCTATTGATTGGTCCGTTGTTGTCCCGTGGTTGTCCCGACGATGGTCGCCTCATGGTTATCACTTGGTCTTCCCATGGTTTCTCCGATCGTTGTCTTGATGATTGTCTGATTATCCCGTGGTTGTCCCGATAGGTGCTCCAAGTATTTTTTGTCCCCAAACACCGTCAGGGGCTTCAATTGTTGCTCCGTGGTTGTCCGGTTGTTGTCGACCGAGACACAATGAGACCGATAGAAAGAGAGACCAAATCGTTGATCGTGAGAGTTGTCGATCGATCGATAAATAGACCTACATACCTGTAGTGGTACCGTTACATCGATGAGTAGATACTACATATATATATACACACCAAAGACCAGCCACACGCCGACGAGGAGGCTGGGGTGGGGCCAGTGACGGAACAATGATCGCAATCATCGGGGCAACCGCATCCGTTCATCGAACTCTCTCTACCGGTGTATCTACCTATCGATCTCATTATGTATCCATATACACGTTGTACCGGCCATGCATATTTGTACATCTCTATGTATATGTATGTATCATTACCCATCCACTTTCGCTGCCGCGCATATCCGCCACCGCGCTTAGAGGAAGCAGCGCAGTCGAGTCTTAGCGATTTGTGGGCCTGGCGATTCGTTCTGCGAACAGGTGGTCGGCTCACTTCGGTTGTCTATCAGGCAGTCTTGCGGCCGCTCTGGCGGACGAGGAACCAAGCCCCAATGGTCCCGCTTGGGAACCTCGTGAGGGCCTGCAGGAAGCTTCCTCGTGCCTCCATGGAGCTTCTGGGAGGCCTCTTGGGCCTTCTTCAGGGCCTCGTGGGAGCCTCCAGGGGCATCTTGAGTTTCCCCCCCACATCCTAAGTTGGTTATTGTTTTCTCTGCCCCCCCCTCATGCAGGAAAGAACACCTCAACCTCTTCGCCACTCTCCCCTCCATAACACCATCATCTTCGCCATCATCAGCATCGACCATATACCGTCACAATATTGGAAAGAGCGTGTTCTACCGCTGCTGGCGGGAAACCGGGGGGGGTCACTACCGGTTCGAACGCCCCCCCCTCCTCGAACTCGAAAACCGGGGGGGGTCACTACCGGTTCGAACCCCCCCCCCCCCTGGAAAACCGAGGAGGGGTGCGGACAGTGGTGAGTGGACAGCGGGACAGTGGTGGGGACAGTGGGTGAGGACAATGGTGGGAACAGTGGAGACAGTGGGACAGTGGTGGGGACGGTGGTGGTGGGGACAGTGGTGTGGGGACAGTGGGAATGTGGTGGAAACAGTAGGACAGTGGAGGGTACAGTGGTGGTGGGGACAGTGGTGAATGCGGTGGCGAGGACGGCGGTGGGACAATGGGACAGAGGTACAGTGGGGACAGTGGTGGGGACAGTGGTGGGAACAGTGGTTCGAACCAGTAGTGACGCCCCCCCTTCGGTTTTCGAGGGGGGGGGGGGAGGGTTCGAACCGGTAGTGACCACCCCCCCGGTTTTCGAGTTCGAGGGGGGGGGGGGAGGGGTTAGGGGAGGGGGGGGGTTTTGCCGGGGGAAGGGGGGGAGGGGGGGGGGGTCCAGCAGGGGAGGGGGGGATTTTTGGAGGGCGGGGAGGGGACCCCCGGGTTCCGGAGGAAAAGGGCGGCAATTTTCCACAGTAAAGCGGCGGTGGATCACGCTCTCTCCAATATTCTAGACGCTTCGCGTATCCCCACCAGCCCGTCCAGAAACGACGCCCAGGCGAGTAGAGGGTCGTCCTGAGGGGCTTTTCGGCGTCTTGGGTGCCTCGGGGGGGCCTCTGTGGGCCGTTCGGGATCCTCTTTGGGGCCTCCTGGGGGCCTCTTGGGGCCTCTTGGGGCCATCTTGGGGCCTTTGGGGGCCTCCTGGGCGCTTCTTGGGGCCTCCTGGGCGCTTCTTGGGTGCCTCTGGGGGGTCTCTTGGGGCCTCTTGGGGGTCTCTTGGGGGCCTCCTGGGGGCCTCTTGGGGGGCCTCTTGGGGCCATCTTGGGGCCATCCTGCGGCCTCTTGGGGCATCCTGGGGGCCTCTTGCGGCCATCGTGGAGGAAATCGATCAAAGAAGAGGGGAGCTTTAATTAGCGCTGCCCCCTCAGAAGGCCAAAATGGGGCCAAAACCATAGTAAAATCAATGATTTTGGCTTCCTCGCCGAGGCCGTTTTGGACGCTCTGACCGCTCGCGGCCCCCCCCGTCCAGGTCAGTGGGGAGGGGGTAGGGGGAGGGGTAAACCCCTCCCCGAAGGGGAAGAGGGAGGGGTGGAAGAGGAAACGCCCTAAACCACCGACGCCCAGAGGGCTGGTGGGATTGTCATCGTCATTGCCATCATCATCATCATCATCATCATCATCATCATCATCATCATCATCATCATCATCATCATCATCATCATCATCATCATCATCATCATCATCATCATCATCCTCATCCTCATCCTCATCCTCATCCTCATCTCTCATCCTCATCCTCATCCTCATCCTCATCCTCATCCTCATCCTCATCCTCCTCCTCATCATCATCATCATCATCATCATCATCATCATCATCTTCGTCATCGCACATAGAGACGCACTCACACACTCACTCAAACACACACGCTCGCGCACTCACCTTGAGTAAGTCTTGAGCGGGAGCCTCGCCTGTGAGTGGATCCCCACCTCCTGTTGGTGATCCGAGGCGGCCATCAGAATACCATATAGCAAACACAGGCTTGGTGACACGAGGGAGCCTAAGTCTCGAGCGGGAGACTCTCTTCGCCATCATACTATCATTCTTATCGCCCTCATCATCACCGACCATCTACCATCAAAGTATCGTCGTCACCATTACCACCTCTACCATCGTCATCATCCTCATCATCATCAGCTTCATCATCGTCATTTTCATAATCACCATAATCATCTCTTCATCATCACCATCACCACCAGCACCATCATCACCATCATCGTCATCACCATCACCAGCATCGCATCATCATAACCATCAGCTTCAACATCACCATCATCATCAGCATCACCGTTATCATCATCATCATCATCATCATCATCGTCACCATCATCATCAGCGCCACCATCACCATCATCATTATCATCAGTATCGGCATCATCGTCATCATCAGCATCAACATCATCACCACCAACACCATCATCATCATCATCGTCATGATCAGCAACATCGCATCATCATAATCATCAGCCTCAGCATCACCATCATCAGCATCACCGCTATCACCATCATCATTATCATCATCACCGCCACCATCATCATCATCATCATCATCATCATCATCATCATCATCATCATCATCAGCATCATCATCATCAGTACCGTCACCATCGTCATCATCAGCATCACTATCATCATCATCATCATCGCCATCATCGTCAACACCATCTTCATCGGACACACATACACTCACACACTCATTCAATCGTTCACGCACTCGAGCACTCAGCTTCAGTAAGCCTCGAGCGGGAGCCTCGTCTGTGAGTGAGTCGTGAGGAAGTCTCGAGCGGGGGCCCCTCCCCTATGGGGCCCCCACTTCATGTTGGGCATCAGAGGTGGCCATCGGAATGCCATATACAACTGTCCGTTTGGTGGCACCTCGGAGCCTAAGTCTCAAGCGGGAGGCTCATCTGTGAGCGAATCGCGAGGACGTCTCGAGCTGGACCCCCTCCCGCGGCCATCGGACTACCGTGCAGAATGCACAGGTT